GAGGTCAGGAAGGCAAGTTATGTCAATAAGGGTCAAAGATCGAAATCAAGTTTGGGGTCAAATGTCAGAGGCCAGAGGTCTGATTGGAGTCAACAGGACTAGAAAACAGAGATGGAGGCCAAATAATAAAGTCAGAGTTGATGGAGGTCAGAGGTCGAGATGTGACAGGTTGAGATGGAGTCAGAAGTCAGTGTGGGTTAGTCAGTGTACCGGGGGTCAGAGATTAGAGGTAGAGGGTAAGTCAGGTTGATGGAGGTCAAAGGCCAGAGGTGGAGGCCCAAAGAGAGTGTTGTAGTCAGTGGAGGTCAAAGGTGGAAGGTCAGGGGACCAGGTGAGGGTGACTATGGCAAGTACCTCCTCCCGCCGGTACTCAGGACTCAGGAAGGCCTCATAGCGGCTCCTCAGGAAGCGGCCCAGCTCCAGCTGCTGGCGGACCCCCTCCTGGGGACAGAACAGCCTTAGTCTACCCCTCTCCACCCCTCCCACCCTTGCCCTCACCTCCCACCCACTTCTTACCCTGGTCAGCTGGCCCAGGCCTCGTGGCCACAGGGTGGAGGCCACCTCCTTGTGTGGGTCCGTGGGGTAGGAGGCCAGCGGGGCCCGGTCGCCATGGCGGAATACCTGGGGACAGGACTGGTCAGGGCTAGCCCTGGGGGAGCTGAGGGCAGGCCGGGGCAGGGGTGTCTCACCAGAGCCACGAACACCAGAGATCCTTCTGGCAGGGCCCGGGGTGGCAGCAGCAGCAGCAGCAGGAGCAGGAGAGGTCCAGCAGGGTGGCCCCAAAACCCCAGCCCGGCCATTTCCACCCAGCCCAGACGCTGAGCTCAGCCCACTGTCTGGGCCGCAGTCCCGCCTGTCCCAGCCCTGCACTTAGCACCCCCATTATAGCAGGCCCTGGCACGCTTCCCCAGGGGCCACAGATCCCATCCCCCAGCGCCTCTGCCAGTCTTTGATTAACCCGTTTCATCTTCGTTTCATCTTCACTGCTGCCCCAGCAGACGCTTGATGTGCTCGTCATCATCCCCGTTGTGCCGATGGGGAAACTGAGGCACAGAAGGGTTCTGTAACTTGCCCAAGAAAACACTGAGGTTTCTCAGACAAAGGTGCCTTTAACCTGGATGCAGACTTGGAAAGAGACCCTCACCCCGCATTGTTCGTCTCAGCCACAGCCTTGACCCCCTGAGTCAGAGAGGTCAACGGTAGTAACCATGGGCTGGATTTTCTGTACTTTGATGCGTTGACACCAGGGGCCTTGCTATTCATTAGAAGGACCGCCCCTCCCGGGGTTACCAGTTCACGGACTGGCGCAGGCGCGTGCCTCTTCTGTACAAACCAGCCAACCCAGAGCCCACACCCCAACCACCCGGGCCACCATCCACCTGCCCTGATCACCTGGGGCAGGGTACTGGACAACTCAGGACAGCCCCTGTGCCCCAGAGCCTGCTGAAATGGCTCAACCAGCCACTCTCTACCCTACCTTATCCCACAGAAAACACAAAGAAGCTGCTTGCTTCAGGTCTGTCTCCTGGGCACCCCAGTGCCTCCCCATGTGGCCCCCATGGCATGCTCCCTCCGCTGGAGAAACTGTCAGTATAACAAGTCATCTTTCTTTCTTTCTTTTTTCTTTTTTTTCTTTCTTTCTTTTTTTTTAATTTTTTTATTTTTTTTTTTGAGACGTAGTCTTACTCTGTTGCCCAGGCTGGAGTGCAGTGACATGATCTCAGCTCGCTGCAACCTCCACCTCCCAGGTTCAAGAGATCCTCCTGCCTCAGCCCCCCTAGTAGCTGGAATAACAGGCATGTGCCACCATGGCCAGCTAATTTTTGTTTGTTTTTTTTTTTAGTGGAGATGGGTTTTCACCATGTTGACCAGGCTGGTCTCGAACTCCTAACCTCAGGTGATCCACTCGCCTCGGCTTCCCAAAGTGCTGGGATTACAGGTGTGAGCCACCATGCCCAGCCAACAAGTCATCTTTCAGTGGCAATCGTCTGCTGCTCGGGCGGCCTTACCATCCCACAATGCTGATAAAATCTACACTTCTCAGCACTGTCGGGGGCTGGCTGGCTCTCCTGCCTCACTGTGCACAGTCAGCCTCCAGTCCTGTCCTGTTTTGTTTGTTTGTTTGTTTGTTTGAGACAGAGTTTTGCTGTATTGCCCAGAATGGTCTTAAACTCCTGGGCTCAAGCAGTTCTCCCACCTTGGCCTCTCAAAGTGCTGGGATTACAGGTGTGAGCTCCTGCACCAGTTACGGAAGTTTTGTGAATCTCTCTCTCTCCCCGTACTTGAAATACGATAGAGGCCCCTGGAATAAAGTAGTAGAAGAGCTGGAGGCTTAAGCCAGACCAGGAGCTGGCAGCTCACACCTGTAATCCCAGAACTTTGGGAGGCCAAGGTAGGAGGATTGCTTGAGGCCAGGAGTTCAAGACCAGCCTGGCCAACATGAAGAGACCCCCACCGCCCTGACTCCATCTCTATAAAAAATAAACAAAAATTAGCCAGGCATGGTATGGTGGCGTGTGCCTGTAGTCCCAACTACTCAAGAGACTGAGATGGGAGGATCACGTGAGTCCAGGAATTTGAGGCTTCAGTGAGCTATAATCATACCTTTGCACTACAGCCTGGACAACAGAGTAAGACCCTGTCTCTAAAAAAAATAGAAAAGAGAAAAAAAAAAAAACAACCCTGAAGCAAAATTAAGAAACTAGAAACCATGTTCCAGCCCCTGGAGATGTCAGCACTTTAATATCTACTGATGTGTTGGCTCCTGTGACAGGTTACCACTCAGTGGCTTCAAATGACAGTTCGGGAGGTCGGAAGTCTGCAATCAATATAACTGGGCCAGGCATGGTGCCTGACACCTGTAATCCTGTCACTTTCTGAGGCCGAAGTGGGCAGATCAGTTGGGTTCAGGAGTCTCAGACCAGCTTGGGCAACATGGTGAAACCCCGTCTCTACTAAAAATACCAAAAAACTAGCCAGGTGTAGTGGCGCACGCCTGTAGTCCCAGCCACTTGTCGCTTGAGCCCAAAGTTGAGGCTGCAGTGAGCCCTGATTCTGTCACTCCACTCCATCCTGGGCGACAGGGCGAAACCTGATGTTTAAATGCAGTTTTTCATATATGTACTTCTTACCAAAATGAGATCATACAGAACCTGCAATTTTGTAACCTGCGTCTTTCAGTTAACCTCCTCTTCTCCTTGGCAACAGTGCTTTGGTCTTGTCTGATACCCACTCCCTGTTCAAATGTCCCTCCATTTCTCCCCAAAGAAGACTTTGTTTGGTTTTGTCTTCTGAGACAGGGTCTCACTCTGTCACACAGGCTGGAGGGCAGTGGTACAATCTCGGCTCACTGCAGCCTCTGCCCCCCTCCTGGGTTCTGGTGATTCTCGTGCCTGAGCCTCCTGAGTAGCTGGGACTATAGGTGCACACCACCGCACCTGGCTAATTTTTGTATTTTTAGTAGAGACAGGGTTTCGCCACGCTGCCCAGGCTGGTCTCAAACTTCTGGCTTCAAGCCATCCTCTTGCCTCAGTCTCCCACCTGAAGAGCCTTTATAACTTGTTTGTCTAAACCAAAACCTGGTCCAGGATCACCCATCAAAGCTGTCTCTTAACGGATTTTTTCAAATATAGCAAGGCCACTTGCTTTTGTTTTGCATTGTAGCATGGATTTGTTGGAGAGACGGTGCTCCTTGCTCTGCAGAATGTGTTGCCTTCTGGAATTTTCTGGGTAATGCCCTGAGGTATTGTTTTACAATCCGTGTTATTCATAGGAGTGATGTTGTACAACTGTGACCACTGAATCAGCAAATAAGGACCCACTGCTTCATTAATATAAGTATATATTTTTCTATTTATTTATTTATTTTTACTTATTTATCATGCCACTCTGTTGCCCAGGCTGGAGTGCAGTGGCGTGATCTCGGCTCAGTGTAACCTCCCCCACCTGGGGTTCAAGTGTTGCCCGTGCCTCAGCCTCCTGAGTAGCTGGGACTACAGGTGCACACCACCACACCCGGCTAAATTTTTTGTTTTTTTAGTAGAGATGGGGTTTCACCGTGTTGGCGAGGCTGGTCTCAAACTCATGACCTCAAGTGATCCTCCCGCCCTGGCCTCCCAAAGTGCTGGGATTACAAGTGTGAGCCACCGCACCTGGTCTATATTTATATATATTTAAAGAGATGGGGTCTTACTATGTTGCCCAGGCTGGTCTCGAACTCCTGGGCTCAAGCGATTCTCCTGTCTCACTTGCCCAAAGTGTTGGGATTACAGGCATGAGCCACCGCACCCAACCCTATATATGTGTGTGTGTATATATAGTACACATATATAGTACATATATAGTACACATATATAGTACATATATATGTACACACACACACACACGTATTTCCCCAATAAGTGTTCACAGTTGTACAACATGGCTACCAAAAACAGCAAGACTCTATCTGCCAGAAATAATGCAAATAGCTACCTGAATAGCCAGATTGTATAGTCTCCTTTTTTGTGGTAGTGATAGGTAAATAGATATCTCACACATGCATGTATCACATGTATTTTATTTTATTTTATTTTTTAGTTGTAGTTGTGGAGACAGGATCTCACTCTGTTGCCCAGGCTGGAGTGCAGTGGCGTGATCTTGGCTCATGGCAACCTCGACCTCCTGAGCCCAAGTGATCCTCCCATCTGGAGGAGGAAGTTTTGCCTGGGCCTCCTCAACTGTTCTCCTGGCCTGCAGGCTCCTGCTGTGAGATATTTCTACACCCAGAACTGACCCGGTCCCTCCCCTGCTCTCAACCCTCCCATGGCTCCCCAGCACCCTCCGGGGAAAAACCCAGATGCCTCAGTATGGTGTTCGAGGTTCAGACTTTCCGGTCTCACATGTCCCGATGTCACGTTCAGATGCCGCATGTGGTGGGCCACACCAGGGTCTGTCTCTGCCCTGTGCCTCTGCCAGAATGCCCTTCCCCCGTTGCCCTGGCCACCATTCTTGTTGCTCTGACAACCCCCTCTTGGGGTTCCAGTGGCTTCTCCCCTCTCTGGCTCAGAGGCCCAGGAAGGGGAGAGAAGACCAAGCAAGGGGTGGCTGGAATCCCAAGGCCATGAACTTTCAGGAAGTGAGGAGGGGTCTGGCAGGGAAGGGAGGCCTGGGGCGGGGCAGAGGGCGGGGAGGGGAAGGGTCCTGACCTCTGATCTCCTCCCCCCAGAATGTGACTCTGGCCATGGCCGTGTTCACCATCCTGACTTCCATCTACTTCTTCAACAAAGTGAGCAGGAAGAGGGCGGAGGTGGGGGCTGAGTCTCTGTCTCCCTGGTCCGGTTTTGTCATCTTGGTCTCTCTTTCTCTCCCACGTCTCTGTATATCTCCCTGTTTTCCTCTCTCAGGCTCAGCAGTGAGAAGACGCAGGACCTCCCCACCCAAAAGCCCTGCCTCTGCCCGGACCATCGCTCTGAGGCCAAATAAATGTAACTGAATCTGCACATCCTGCTCCCCCGCCCACTGCCCCTGCGCCCGGCCTCGGGCCTACATCACACCTGGGGACTCTGTGTTTCAGGAGGGACTGGGGTGGGGGTCCGGACTCCAGAGTCTGAGGTAGGAGAGTGGTGAGGGCCCACCCTCTCAGGTTTGAGGCTAGGAGCTGGGAGTCTGAGTTGGGTTTTGAGGGATGAGTAGGAGTCTGTCTGGGGAATTCCAAGAAGAGGAAGAACATTTCAACTCTGGGTGTAAGGGCACAGAGGGAAGAAAGAGCAGGGCAGATTCAGCGCCTGGTACCAACACAGGCTGCTGTGTACTTCGGATTTGTTATTTCCCTCTGATCCCCCGACTTCTTCTCCATCAGACAAAGGCGAAAATCTTTGTCCAGTGGGCCCCAGGAAACCACAGCCAGGGCAGCCTGAGATCCAAGATGTGAATGCACTTGTCACATCAGCTGCAACGGGCTTTAGTTATCATCGTTTTCTCCATCACTGTCATACTGTATCAACACATCTTCCTCTTTTTTTTTCTTTTTGAGATGAGATCTCACTCTGTTGCCCAGGCTGGAGTACAGTGGTATGATCATAGCTCACTGCAACCCTGAACTCCCGGGCTCGAGCGATCCTCCTGCCTCAGCCTCCTGAGTAGCTGGGACTGTAGGTGTTCACCACCATGCCCAGCTAACTTTTATTAATTTTTTTTAGAGACAGGGTCTCACCATGTTGCCCAAGCTGGCCTCTAACTCCTGACCTCAAGCAGTCCTCCTACCTCAGCCTCCCAAAGTGTTGGAATCATAGGTGTGAGCCACTGTGCTCAACCTCTTTTCTTAACAAGCTCCTATTTAACCTTCAACACCCACCAGCAATGTCCCTTCCTATAAAAGTATGCAGACTCACCCCCATAGCCAGTTCCTTAGCAGCCCCCTTGCATAGTGCCCTTCCCCAACCCCCTGCCTCTATCTCCAGCATCCGCAGGTCAATGCCCTGGGGGACACTTCAACCTTCAGTTGCATTTCACCTACCTTCTCATCTAGGCAAAAGCAATTTCATTTCAGCTCAATATCTGAAAAGACAGCTTTGGAGTAAGGTTGACTGTGCGTGCTAGGTTTTCCTGGAAAAGCTCAACAAATTTCCTCCTTTCCTTTCTTCCTTTCTCCCTCTCCTCCCCTCCCCCTCCCCCCCTCCCTCCCTCCCTTCCTTCCTTCTCTCCTTCCTTCCTTCCGAGACAGAGTTTTGCTCTTGTCCCCCAGGCTGGAGTGCAATGGTGCAATCTCGGCTCACCGCAACCTCCGCCTCCCAGGTTCAAGCAATTCTCCTGCCTCAGCCTCCCGAGTAGCTGGGATTACAGGCATGCACCACCACGCCTGGCTAATTTTGTGTTTTTAGTAGAGATGGGGTTTCTCCATGTTGGTCAGGCTGATCTCAAACTCCCAACATCAGGTGATCCACCCGTCTCGGCCTCCCAAAGTGCTGGGATTACAGGCGTGAACCACCGCGCCCGGCCTCACAAATTTCATTTTATTTTATTTGAGATGGAGTCTCACTCTGTTAAACCCAGGCTGGAGTGCAATAGCGCGATCTCGGCCCACTGCAACCTCCACCTCCCAGATTCAAGCAATTATCCTGCCTCAGCCTCCCAAGTAGCTGGGACTACAGGCACCTGCTACCATGCCTGGCTAAGTTTTGTATTTTTAGTAGAGACAGGGTTTCAGTATGTTGGCCAGGGTGGTCTCGAACTCATGACTTAGTGATCTGCCTGCCTCGGCCTCCCACAGTGCTGGGATTACAGGTGTGAGCCACAGCGCTTGGCCACAAATTTCAGTAATGGCTACAAATTTCAATAATAAAAAGATTCATAGTCGCACTATAATTTTATCTCAAATTAATAGAATTTTTGTGGATCACCAACATTTTGGGCCAATGTTTTAGCATCAGTGGCAACAGCGCCCTCCTGAAGTTCTCAAAAGCTTCTATTTGGAGGCGGGCTTTACTTTCGAGTTATTGGCTGCAAAACTCCAAATAGCCACACAGTGGTGGTGTTGCACTATTTTCTCAACCAGAAATTGGCTGCCTTAAGGGTTGAGCGCAAGAAATAAACGTCGGTTTTGGCAATACCACAATTGTTTGTTTGTTTTTGAGACAGAGTCTCGCTCAAAACCACAATTTTTTGAGACCTGGGGGGTTCCTGGCTGCTTCCTCCCTCCTCCCTGCCTGGGCTTCCTCCCCCGCTGGACCCTCACCCCAGCCTTCTCTCTCTCTCCTCCAGTCCTCAGAGGGGTCCTCCTGTACCCAGAGCTGACCCTGTCCCCTTCTCTTCACAGCCCTCCAGTGGCCCTGAATTCCAGGCCCTCCACTGAGCATTGGAGGCTGCAAGTAACCTGACCCCCTCCAGGCTTTAAAAAAAAAAAAAAAACTCACCCACCTCCCACGTCGGCCCTGGTGTATTCTTGGCCACAGCGAACTCGAAGATAGTCCCCTGTTTGCACTGCTGGGTCGCAGCCTGGAATGCCCTTTCCCATGTCTTTGTTTGTTAGAGACCGAGTTTCGCTCTGCGCCCAGGCTGGAGTGCAGTGGTGCGATCTCGGCTCACTGCAAGCTCCGCCTCCCGCGTTCACGCCATTCTCCTGCCTCAGCCTCCCGAGTAGCTGGGACTACAGGCGCCCGCCACCACACCCGGCTAATTTTTTTGTATTTTTAGGTTTCACTGTGTTAACCAGGATGGTCTCCATCTCCTGACCTCGTGATTGCCCCACCTCAGCTCCAAAGTGCTGGGATTACAGGCTTGAGCCACTGTGCCCGGCCTTTTTTTTTTCACCTCAGCCTCCCTAGCAGCTGGGACCACAGGTGCACGCCACTATGCTTGGCTAATTTTTTTTTTTTTTTTTTTTTTTTTTTTTTTTTTTTTTTTTTTAGTAGAGATGAGGTCTTTCTGTGTTGCCCAGGCTGGTCTTGAACTCCTGGCCTCAAACAGTCCTCCCACCATGGTCTCCCAAAGTGTTGGGATTACAGGCATGAGTCACAGCACCCCCATCACCACTAACAAATACTGACAGCAAAGCTGGTCTTTGCGTTCCGCCACCCGCTCCCCTCCGTTTCCCTTTTGCACCCCAGGGTTTGAACCACTCAGTGGTGCCTTTCTCAGTCCTCTGGGAGCTATCAAGGTTGTATTTTCTTTTTCTTTCTTTTTCTTTTTCTTTTTTTTTTTTTTTTTTAAAGATGGAATCTCGCTCTGTTGCCCAGGCTGGAGTGCAGTGGCACAATCTCAGCTGACTGCAACCTCCACCTCCCAGGTTCAAGCGATTCTTCTGCCTCAGCCTCCTGAGTAGCTGGGATGACAGGTGCTGTCACACCTGGGTAATTTTTTTGGTATTTCTTTTTTCTTTTCTTTTTCTTTCTTTTCCTTTTCTTTTTATTTATTTATTTATTTTCAGATGGAGTCTTGCTTTATCACCCAAGCTGGAGTGCAGTGGCGAGATCTTGGATCACTGCAACCTCCACCTCCCGGGTTCAAGTGATTCTCCTGCCTCAGCCTCCCGAGTAGCTGGGATTACAGGTGCGTGCCACCACACTTGGCTGATTTTCCTATTTTTAGTAGAGATGGGAATTCACCATGTTGGCCGGGCTGGTCTTGAACTCCTTAACTCAGGTGATCCACCTGCCTCGGCCCCCCAAAGTGCTGGGATTACAGGCCTGAGCCACCGTGCTCACTTTTTTTTTCTTTTCTTTTGTATTTCTGGTAGAGACGGGGTTTCATCATGTTGGCCAGGCTGGTCTTGAGCTCCTGACCTCAAGTGATCCACCCACCTCAGCCTCCCAAAGTGCTGGGATTATAGGCGTGAGCAACTGTGCCCAGCCCCAAGTTGTATTTTCACAACCACAGATAGATGGGTCTCAGCCCAGCTGCCCGCAGAAATCCCTGGGGAGGTTTTTAAATTCCCAGAGCCGAGCTCCACCCAGGACCACTTAAACCACAGGGTCTGGGGATGGGGCCCGGACATCGATTTTAAGTTAAAAGCTCTCCCTGGAGATTCTGCCGTGCAGCCAGGGTCAACAGCCCTCCCTGTAATGCATTCCCAGAAGACAAAGAGGTCGATTTTCCTCTTCCTGGAGCTGAGCGCATTTCAGAGGGAGCTCCATGGATATATCAAAGACTCAAAACATGGGGCCAAATTTACCTTTCAGTTTGGAAACATTCAGGAGCTTGAAACTGAAGGAAGGTGAAGCACATTGTTCCCCAGGGCAGAGGGCCTGGGGCGCAAGGTCGGAAGGCACTTGCATATTTCACAATGGACTCCTTCAGGAACCAGAAAAGCTGGCGGCCGCTCCTCTCCCTCATTCTGTCTCACGTGCGGGGAACCGCAAGCTCTGTTTGCGCACAGCTTCTGACCTCAGCGCTGGCGGTTCCACATCTCAGGAACTGCTCAGTCCTGGGACAGCCACGGCCGGTGGTCACCCTTGTTCCACTTGCCGAATTCCTAGGCCACGTCTGCGTTCCAGGCTTTCCACCCAGGCCCCTGCCTCTCGCTCTCTCAAAGCTAGCTCTCTCCTCTCTGTCTGTCATTCTGTGTGTCACTGTGTCTGTCCTGTTCAGTGGTGATTCCCCTCTCCTCGTGTTCCTCCAGCGCCGGTTCCATGTCCGTCTCTCACTAGAGTTCTCCATGTTTCTGTCTCTCACTGAGTCTTGGCCTCTTTGGCCTTTTCTGTGTCCCACTTGCCCCTCCCAGCAGCCTGGCCGGTCTCTCCCCTCCCCTCTGTGCCTCTGTGTCTCCCTTCCATCCACATCGCTCCTGCGCCCGGCGTCGCCTCTTCCGTCTCACTGCTTTCTCTCTGGGTCTCTGTCCCCCTGCCTCTCTGTGGCTCTGTCCCCCTCTCTCTCTGGGCCTCTGTCCCCCTCCCTCTCTAGGTGTCTGTTTCCCTCTCTCTCTCTGGGTCTCTGTCCCCCTCTCTCTGTGTCTCTGTCCCCCTCTCTCTGGGTCTCTGTCCCCCGGTCTCTGGGTTTCTGTCCC